ACAATTCAATTTAAAAATGGGCAGAGGACCTGAATAAATGTATGAAAAGATGCTCAATGTCACTAATCAACAGAGAAATGCAAATTAAAACCACAATGAGATATCACCTCATACCTGTTAGAATGGTTATCATCAATCAATCAATAAACAAGTGTTGGCAAAGTTGTGGAGAAAAGGGTATCCTTGCACTGTTGGTGGGAATGCAGACTGGTGCAGCCACTGTGGAAAACAGTATGGAGTTTCCTCAAAAAATTAAAAATGGAACTGCTTTATGGCCTACTGATTTCACTTCTGGATACATACCTGAAGGAACCCAAAACACTAATTCAAAAGACCATACGTACCCCTATGTTTATTGCAGTGTTGTCAACAATTGCCCAGATGTGGAAGCAACCCAAGTGCCCATCAATGGACAAGTGACTAAAAAAGATAAATATGTAGACACACTCAGCCATAAAAAAGAATGAAACGTTATCATCAGCGACAGCATTGACTGACCTAGAAGGTATTCTGCTAAGTAAAATGAGTCAGCAAGAAAGGCAAATACCAAATGCTTCACCTTTATGTGGATGCTAAAGAACAAAATCAATGAATAAACAAAACAGAAGAGACTCGTAGATACAGAGAACAGACTGATGGTTGCCAGAGGAGAGAGGGCATGGAAGAATGGGTGAAAACGGTCACGGGATTGAGAAGTACGGATTGGTGGTTACAGAATTGTCATGGGCATGTGAAGCACAGCATAGGAAGTACAGTCAATAATATTGTAATAACTGCATATGGTGCCAAGCGGATGCTAGAAGTATTGGGGGAAAAACAATGTGTAAAGTATATGGTTGGCTAACCACTATGCTGTACACCTGAAATTGATACAAAATAATATTGAATGCAAACTGTAACTGAAAAATAAAATTAGCAAATAAGTGAGACAAGTAGTGAACTGAAGGACATATCATTTCTTTTTAAAATCCTTTCCTTTCTCACTCCTCTAACCCTCTACTTCAACTACAAGTAAGTAAATAAAACACAGACCACATGAAAACCTCTCCTGCCTTCTGACAAATACCTTTGCATCAGAAAATACCCCGTGAAAGCCAGAGAACTAATTATTAAGGAGGAACTGAATGTAATTTAGATCGCAAACATCCGTCCTTAGCTCCCACCTCTGAACTCCCAGCAAGTGCACCCTCTCCTTGACCTTCCTCTTAAGCAAACATAAGGCAATGTAAACCAAGCCAGGGACCCTGAAGTCTTTAGGATAATATTTATTGGAATTTGCAAAAAGCCCTCTGGCACATTCATTTACATGACTGAATTTGAGGCATGCCAGAATCATCAGAAGCCCACTCCCAAGCCTCAGTCACAACAAATCGCTCACTGTCCAGATGCCCTTATATGGCCAGGCTTCCTATAAATCTGACAGTTCAGTGTATGTATTGCGTATGTCTTGGCTCTGAGTCACATTCCTCCGGTATGTTTCCCTGGGAGCGTTGATTTCCGCTTTGAGGGCTGGCACAGACTCCTACTTGCTCTTATAAGAAAATGTCCAGGATTCAAAGTTGAAAATGTGCAAAATTCCTTCTTTAAGTACACAAACACTCCAAGTCTGGCCACTTTCCTGTAGTCCTGCCAGGTTTTCTCTCTGTCTGATACCTGATCAAGTAACCTTTTTTTAGGGGGGAAAAACAACAAGAAACATACGAGAAGGAATGTAGTACATCCACAGCTGAACATCTTACAAGACTTAACCAAACGACCCGCACAAATGAGGCCCACAGAGACACACAGACACCGTATATAGCTCCGTAAACAGGGTTCAGTGGCCAGCTTAGTGAATTCCTCATTTCACTGGGAGGAAAAATGCTCTCTAAAAAGCTTTTGGTAGATAAACACTTGCTTACAAGACAAAATTAGTGCATCTTAACCATTTTGCACACAAATTCAAAGACCTTTTTCTCCCATTGCTAGACCTGCTGTCAGTCAAAAGGGCTGGGATAAGTCAGAGTTGGACATAGTTATAAGAAGCCACTATTTCCACTTTACCGCCCAGGCACACACAAACATTTGCTGAGTCATTTATAATAGTGCAAGAATTCAGATCTCCATGGCATGAGTTAGGGACAGAGTGTCAGCCCTTCCCTTCCCTTTGAATTTCCTGGCACTGGATGGTCCATATCACAGTATAAACATACTTTGGAGTCTGTGAATGTCTTGGGTGTTATTTCTCTCTCTCTCTCTCTCTCTCTTTCTCTCTCTCTCTGTGTCTCAATAATAAACTTTTACTTTAAACCCTTCAAAAGAGTTTTGATCATATACGTTATAAGGCACAGGTTATTTTTCTCTTCTGACATTTCATATTCTGTATACTTCAATATGCTTATTGTCTCTTAGCCAATATTCAAACCATCCATTTGGAGCTGCTATGGACTTTTAACACTTCAAGGGACCATGTGAATTTTACAGTATAATCATATACAATGTCATGGTATTTTTACCACCAAGGCAGAATAGTAATATTTTTTATTATGTTTGTGGAGAATGAACAAATCGAGAAAGTCTAAAAAAAATAAAGTACCAATTCCCTGATGATTTTAATCTAATTAACCATCATTAAATGCTAGGAAATCAAAAATACTCATTATTATCATCATTTAAATGGAAACTTGGGGACGATGGCTCCTACTGTGACTTCCCTGAGATTTGTGAATGGCAGGTCCAAGAATACAACCCTGCTCACCCAGCTGTAACCCAGTCCATCAATTTATCCTCTCCATGAATGGAAGTCTTCACTCTGTTTCACACGAAAGTGTTGATGGTGGCTCTCAGACTCTCCCGAGGACTCAAAAATCGCCAACCTTCCTCCCGTCTACCTCACCCTGCAAGCTGAGACGGCTCACCACTGAGCCCACATCCCACCTTAGGTGAGGGTAGGACTTCACATTCCTCCCCTTCCCCATTTACCACACCTTTCCAACTATTAGTGGTGGATGTAATTGGGGGTTTAGGTCTTGAAAGATTTCACTGTGGCTTCCCACATATTTTGGACTTTTAAAATCATCCACAAGGGAAGAAACCGTTGGGGGCCAAGTTGCCTTTAATACACATGTGGCTATTCACATAACTTGGAATGTTCCTTCTTTAAATAGGAACTTGTAGGCCTCTTCTCTTTGAGGAATGTTTGGAAAGAACATTCAATAACATTGATGAAAATTCTTCCTGAGCTTCAGAGGCCCCTCTGCTGAGCATTCACACTGCTGACACACAACTACACTGTACAACGTGCGGATTGCTCAACAAGGTAATCATGTACAGTTGATGGGGCCCAGGCTGAAGCTGGAATGGCTCTTTTCTTTCTTGGCTATTTTTCAACAGAATGAATTGAAACTTAAAAAAAAAATATGCCCTGCTTTAACAGGCCGTTTGCAACTTGTACATATACAATGTTGTTTCTGAGAGCTTGTCTTTACATCAGAAATGGACATGGTTGTCTTCAACCAGGAAAAGGAAGCATCAACCACTCACTGGTAACACCACTATCAACTCGTGTGGCATCACAATAGAAAAAACCGGCATGGTCCTGGAATCACTCTCTTTACATGAAATGGTAATTGGAGCTATTAAAAAAACACAACTGAACTATAGTTCTAAATGAAAGCACAGTTCATTAACTAAGTCCTTAGTGAAGCTAACGAACAACAGTAAGAAATGGAGACAGGCTTCGACGTTATTGGCCATATGAGACACCTGTGCACAAGCAGAGGGAATAACACCTGTTCTCTCCTTGCCCCCATCTCATCCCATTAGGCTGTAGACCGCTTGAGTAATAAGAAGTCTCAGTCACTATTCACAGACATGTGGAGCGTCACTAAAATATACTACTCACTGACACTCCATTCATAACCGGATATAATGGATAACACTGCTCTTGTTAAATAAACAGATTTCTACTGCAAGACAAACCAAGTACAATCCATGCTTGAAGTTAACAGGTTTGAGTGTAAGGAAAATCACTCATTTCTCAAAGACCCATAGTGGTGTTTTCAAGAACCCCAAGAACCCCAGTCTTCTTGCTGGCTCCCCCTTGTCTGATTCCCCTCGCTTCCCACTCCTGCGTTCTCACCCCAATATTCAGAGCCTCTACCTACCCAACACATAACCATCTGCTCTGCCATAACAATAAGACCACTTTTCTGGAAAGACTGATGCCCACTCATCCTTTCCCTCCCCACACCTCAACAATAAAACTGCCACATGCGTTAAGAGGAAACAAAGCAAGGGTGCTGGAAATCTCCCCCAGAAAAGTGCATACACACTCAGGCGGAGGCTTTGTTCTCTTTCTGTTCCGGCAATGGGCACACAAACCGTTATCCCAAGGCACTACAGATGAGACTCCTGTATCTCCACTATGGAATTCAGGGTTCTGCAGGTAGGCAAGCTGCCTGTGGATTTCGGCTTAGAAGCAACTAACTCCTCTTCTGCTCTCTGAAGAGTTTCAAAGGCAGACAGCCTCTAAAATTAAAATCATAGAAAAGTAATAAATAGGAAACCGTTAGAACTGTTCTAGGAATCCCTGTTGTTGGCTTCTTTAGCTACCTACATCCTAAGAAGGATTTATCAGTGGGTAGAACAGGCACAGCTATCAGAAACAGAAGTGAGTGGTATAAAAAGTAGTAATTGCCGATGTGTTTTTAAATGATATAAATCAGGAGTGGTGTGAAGAACAGAGGGGGAAAAATCCCATTTGGTGCTGGAAATACTGAGCCTTTTTTTTCTTTTTCTTTCTTTCTTTCTCTTTTTTTTTTTTTTTTTAAGTGAGCTAGAGTGTGCCAGCTTTTTCAGACGGGAGGAATGCTGAGTGTCAAGGGGTCAGGATCAATCCGGTGTGAGTTGATGAGGCAGGAAGGTGGGGAGGAATGCGAGGAATGTCCCTGTTTGTGTGGGACTCCATTCAGATCATTGGCGAGCCGGGGCCGCCCTAAGCGTATAAAAGCCTCGGCCGCCCGCCCCAACCTCACACAACAACTCTTCCCCGCCGAGAGGAGGCAGCCAGTGCAACTCCAACCACAGGCGACCGACCGCCTCCAGTCCGACGGCAGCCGCCCCGGCCGACAGCTCCAGAAACGACAGCCCGGCGCGTCTAGGCAGCCACCTCCAACCCGAGCCCACGATCCAGCCTCCCGCTGACCGCGCCGCGCCCACCCTGCTGCATACTCCGACCCTGGGTCCGCAGTGATCCGACCATGTACGCCGAACTGGGTCGCGTCTCTTTCGTCTTCGGGATCCTGCTCGCCCTCTGCAGCCGGGTAAGCGCTGGGAGACCCCCGCGGCGGCCGGCGCCGGTGGGGAGGGACTCAGCGGGGAAGGGGAGGGCCGGCGGCGGGAGGGGCGTGCGCCAGGCTGACCGCTCTCTCCTCCCTGCAGCCCGCCTCGGGCCTGGACTGCAGCGGCCAGTGCCAGTGCGCGGCCCCGGCGCCGCGCTGCCCCGTGGGCGTCAGCCTGGTGCTGGACGGCTGCGGCTGCTGCCGGGTGTGCGCCAAGCAGCTGGGCGAGCTGTGCACCGAGCGCGACCCCTGCGACCCGCACAGAGATCTCTTCTGCGACTTTGGCTCCCCCGCCAACCGCAAGATTGGCGTGTGCACGGGTAAGACCTGCAGCCCCGCCAGGGCCCCTTGCCCCTCGCTACCGCCACGGCCAGCCGAGGTGCCGGGGACACTTAGTGACCGACCACCTTCTCCCTCACGTCCACTTTCCCACAAGAAAATAAGCCAATAAGCCTCACCAGTTGAGTTCCTTCCTCTGGCTGTTTCGAGCCCGCCCCCTGGAGCCCTGAACCTAACTCTCATTCCCAGTGCGCCTAATGTTAAGAGTACCAGAGACCGATGCCTGACCTCCGCACCCCCTATTTTCCCCATTCACTCCTTCAGCCAAAGATGGTGCCCCCTGCATCTTCGGAGGGACGGTGTACCGGAGCGGAGAGTCTTTCCAGAGCAGCTGCAAATACCAGTGCACTTGCCTGGATGGAGCTGTGGGCTGCGTGCCCCTGTGCAGCATGGATGTTCGCCTGCCCAGCCCTGACTGCCCCTTCCCGCGGAGGGTCAAGCTGCCCGGGAAATGCTGTGAGGAGTGGGTGTGCGATGAGCCCAAGGACCAAACCATGGTTGGCCCTGCCCTTGCCGGTTAGTTGAATCTCCCTCTAAGTCAGTGTTGCAATTCTCCCCCAGGGACTGAGTGCTAACCTTGCCAAGGGAAGGGGGAAATGTCTTATCCTGGCATCTTACCTTGTGTTTGTGTGCTCTGCTCTCCCAGCTTACCGACTGGAAGACACGTTGGGCCCAGACCCAACTATGATTCGAGCCAACTGCCTGGTCCAGACCACAGAGTGGAGCGCCTGTTCCAAGACCTGTGGGATGGGCATCTCCACCCGGGTTACCAACGACAACGCCTTCTGCAGGCTGGAGAAGCAGAGCCGGCTCTGCATGGTCAGGCCTTGCGAAGCTGACCTGGAAGAGAACATTAAGGTACATGTTCTGCTCTTTTTAACTGATTTTCTCGGAATGATGGTAGATAGGACCAGAGTTAGGTCTCCAGCCACCCTTGTCATTGTAGGCCTATTATCTCCAAAAATATCTAACCATTGTGCTGTTTTGCTGGAACGAGATGTTATGTAATAAGAGCCACCAGTTTTCCACTACGAAATCCACCACAGTGTTAGTTAATTCAAGACATCCCAAAAGAGGCTATGCCTATTTTTGGAAAACTGGCAAAGGAGACTCAAACTTCCTCTCCTCAAAATATAAACAGAAGTCAGACAGTATAAGCCTAGAACACACAGAGGCTGAAGAAAGCTACTTCCCTTGTAGAGTCATTGATTTTTCTCTCCTCCCTTGTCTTCCTCAGAAGGGAAAAAAGTGCATCCGTACCCCCAAAATCTCCAAGCCGGTCAAATTTGAGCTTTCTGGCTGCACAAGCGTGAAGGCATACAGGCCTAAGTTCTGCGGAGTATGCACAGATGGCCGATGCTGCACCCCTCACAGAACCACCACCCTTCCCGTGGAGTTCAAGTGTTCTGACGGTGAGGTCATGAAGAGGAGCATGATGTTCATCAAGACCTGCGCCTGCCATTACAACTGTCCTGGAGACAATGACATCTTTGAGTCACCCTACTACAGGAAGATGCATGGAGACATGCACAAAGCCAGAGACAGTGAGAGACATTAACTCATTGGGCTGTAACTTGAACTGACCTACATCTCATTTTTCTGTAAACATGATTTCAGTAGCACAAGGTATTTAAATCAGTTTTTCTAACTGGGGAAAAGAAAAATTCCCTTCAAATTCAAAATATTGTGCCATGTGACATTCAGATAGTCTATCAACCCCAGACACTGGTTTGAAGAAAGTAAGACTTGACAGTGGGACTACATTAGCACATAGCACCGGAATGTATACCAAGGTGTGGCTTTAGGAGCAGTGGAAGGGCTCAGAATCTTACAGTAGTGTCGTGCCTGCTATTTGCAGGGTCATTGAGAGGGGAAACGTTAGCGTGCTCACTGACCCGCCTGTAGCTGACAGCTAGGATGTGTTCTGCCATCGTGAGGCCGAGTCGCGTTCTTCTTTAAGTCAGAACAGCAGACTCAGCCCTGACATTCTGATTCGAATGACAATGTTCAGGAATCAGAACTCTGTCTATTAGACTGGACAGCTTGTGGCAAGCTAATTTGCCTGTAACAAGCCAGATTTTTTTATTGGTATTGTAAATATTGTGTGTGTGTGTATATATATATATATATTTGTACAGTTATCTAAGTTAATTTAAAGTTGTTTGTGCCTTTGTGTTTATGTTTTAATGCTTTGATATTTCAAATGTTAGCCTCAATTCCGAACACCATAGGTAAGACATAAAGCTTGTCTGATCATTCAAAGCATGACATGGATATTTAAATGGACATTCTGCTCAGTCAGAGTGACAGTCCATCAAAACAGATCATTTTGTTTGAAGGTGAGCCAGCGATGCCCTTGGAAGTCTGATTCGTAGGTTGGAAATGGGATAACCTCACTTTTGTTGAACAAATGGCTTTTGTTGAAATGAGTGGCTCTATACAGTTGTTTCTGTATAGAAACAACTGGGAGCATTTGTTTCTACTTTGACTATGACTGTTTGGGGACAGTTTATTTGTTGAGAGTGTGACCAAAAGTTACATGTTTGCACCTTTCTAGTCGAAAATAAAGTATATATTTTTTCTATAAAGAGCTTGGCTATTCGTTTATTCTGTAAACATTTCTGAGTTTTCTTGCAGACAAATGGGAAGCTTTTGTTTCTGAAAATTATTCACCTATAAACTTCTCAATATGTAATAGTAAATTGGTTAATCACATCAATATAATGTTTACAGTAATGCATTTCACAATGAATCAGGTGTCATAAAGTTGCAGGGGTACACATTATATTAAGCACACGGGCATTTTTTTTAGCTTCACAGTACTTTATAAACACATTCAACTGTGTCTAGATTCTTCATTCTCCACCAGCCCCTATTATATTATTCTTGGCCCTGTTCACATTTAATGTCTCTGGCTATTGTAGGCATTTAATTTCTAACCCTTCACATGATAAACCATCTATGCCTTGTGTATAGAAAATGTTTAATCATTCTTCAAATTTGTATGCTCTACTGTAGATCTATTTCTGAACTTTAATATCTTACTGTTAAATCCAAAATAGCATAAAGTGAAAGCTGCATCAAAATGGAGCAGTTTGATAAATATCATTGCATATAATTCTGTTTCCAGTTGCCATGATAACTAATCACAAATAGATGGTGGCATAAATAAAAAAAGGCAGATAAGCAAATCTTTGATTTCATTAACATTAAGAGAAATTTTTCTTAAATTAAAAGCAACTCCTCCATTTCCCTAGGTTTTTGGTTTTTTTCAGACCTCAAGTTCCATAGCTTACCAAGAGAGTGGTTTGTCAGTGACAAAATGAAATTGTTCTAGAAACATGGTCTGGAAATACTGTTGGGCCTATCCAAGCCTCTGATGAAAAGTGAACTAAAGTAAACAGCAAAAAGAAATACTCCAAGCACCACTAGAAGCCCATTTCTTTCCAGATCAGAAGAGCTGTAGATCCTAAGGGAAAGCAAAAAATAGTTGCTGACAAAATAACCCATCACAGGGTAATTGGCAATGTAGTCCTGGTGTCATGTCGAGAGACAAAAATACATCTGAAAATAAAGGCTAGTTCAGCAAACAGTGCTCATGCCACAAACCGAAAGAAAAACTTCCCATGTTCAAAATGTAAAAAATGCTCTGGTCAAGACACGGGACCTTTAAGACACACCCGTGAACGTATATAGCAATGCCGTCAGCTGCTACGTCTCTTCCCCAAGTGAATCCACACATGCGTGTGTGTGCATGCAAACACAGACACAGTACATTGTGTTTACTTCAATTTTTCTTTCTGTCAGTTGACTCTTAGCTGCAAAGATGAAGGGCCATGGTAAATGAGCCTGACTGTTTTCAAAGGAATTTGAGAATTCTGGCAAGATAGGAGTAAAACAGAAGCATAGATTTTAGAATTTTCAAATTTCCACATTAGAAGACAGTAACTAGATTGCAAAATCAAACTTCATAAGCAATATTTATTTAAAAATGTAAGTGGGGTAAAATCAACCTCCCAAGACCTGCACTATGTCAGCACATGAGTAGGAAAAATGCAAAGGGTTGCTGGAGGGTATCTGATGCTCCTGAGAACAGGAACCCTCAAAAGTAGCCAACAGGGACATAGAGGACACCGACTTCACGTCAGCCACTGAAACCGGTGGTAGTTTTGCCCTCTCCAACAAAACATGCGGACCGAGGTTCTTTCACAAGAAAAAACTCCATTCATACTCAGGAGCAGAGTCAAAATTGAGTACGTCAGAGATAAGGAAGGTATTGAGGGGGAAGATCCAGACAAAATTGAGGAGAGAAACAGAGGATTAAAATCTCAGGAAGAAAACTGTCATTTTCAAATTACATTTTATTGATTATGCTATTACAGTTGTCCCAATTTTCTCCCCTTTTCCCCCTACAGCCAGCAACCCCCACTTCCTCAGGCAATCTCCCACCATTGTTTATGCCCATGGGTCATACGTATACGTTCTTTGGCTCCTCCATTGCCTATACCGTACTTTACACCCCCATGGCTATTCTGTAACTACCTATTTGTACTTCTTAATCTCCTCACCTCTTCACTCATTCCCCCGCACCTCACTCCCATCTGGCAACCATCAAAGTGATCCCCGTATCCATGATTCTGTCTCTGTTCTTCTTGTTTGCTTAGTTGGTTTTTTAGATTACATTGTTGATAGATAGGTATTTGTTGCCATTTTATTGTTCATAGTTTTAATCTCTTTCTTAAGTAAGTCCTTTTTAACATTTCATATAATAATGTTTCTATAATGATGAACTCCTTTAGTTTTTTCTTGTCTGGGAAGCTCTATCTGCCCTTCAATTCTAAACGATAGCTTTGCTGGGTAGAGCAATCTTGGTTGTAGGTCGTTGTTTTTCATGATTTTTCATATTTTTAATACTGCATAAAAACAACAAAAGAGGGAGTTCTGTGAAGTTAGAAAAATTATCTAAACCAAGCCTCCTTTCTGAACAAAATTTGAGAAAACTAATTTTACATAAAAAATAGGAAGACAAAATTATCAGAGTCAAATCCTATACAACGTTATCACATGAAAAAATAAAGGACAGAATAACACCCCTACAGATAATAAAAGCATGTCAGAAATATAGACCCAGAAAACATGTCAAACTATAACCTGCAATTTCAAAAGAATATTAAAAATGACATTAGACATAAATGATAAAAGGAAACAAATAGTAACATAAAATGGCAACATAAATCAAAATTAATAAAACAGAAATATGGTGATAAAACTCAAGAAAGAATTGGAAATAAAAGAATTATATCAAACTAGAAAAAACACAAAAGTAAATAAATACACCAGGTAATTCCCTAAGAAGAATAGATGATGAGAAGGACAAAATTTATTAAAAAAGAATAAAAATGTTTCAAATTGTGACAGACAAATTGTAAATAAACATTCAAGAACTGGGAGCATGTTGCTCTTTCCAGCCCTTCCTAAGGAACCTACTAGAAAAAGAAGCTCAGACAACAAAATGTCTGAGACATATTAACATAAGGACTGGTGGTAAACATTTAATGTAATTTCTCTTTAGCATTACAACTAAGTAAAGATTGATGAGGAGAAAGTACAGTATGTAGTGATTATATGTTGTGACAGTGTAGACTGCAACCATAAAACATGAGGGAAGAATGGAGGTAACATATGACTCTCCCTCCAAATATTTAACTGTTTATCTTAGTGGTTATAGTGTTATTAACACTGCTATTCTAAGACTGGCGGGTATGAATGTGCAATAAAGTGAATTAGCTGTTTTGGATATTCTAATTCTATCCCTCGGGTTAGTGAAAACTGGGATTAATGAGGAAGGCACAAAATGGAGATGTGATATGAAAGTAGTTAAGCAAAATTCTATAGTCTTGAATTTGAATTAAATATTGGCATAAACTTATGATGCATTTTATCTTTAAAACAAACAAACACAAACAGATACATCTATTTTTTTTTTACTGCACCCACTCATTGAAAAGGCTTAAATACAATGTCAACTCAAGAGCAATGAGCATCCCTAAACCCAGACTGGGCTCTTGAAACATTACTTTCCCTTAAAAGAAACTTGAGCTTCTTGGAGAATGATTGATAACAGGTTTGCAAAAAAAATGTGTAAGATAAATACATTTATGCTTAGAATATCTTTTCATATTGTATAATAATGAAGTTAATGAGGACCATTAAGATCATATCAAAAGGACTCAGGAAACAATTTGAAGGTACCCCCCATTAAGGATGGGGCAATTTGAGGTTTTTAATAAGGATAAGAATAAAAATGCTGTGCATCGTGTAACATCTATCCTTAAATTCATTAGTTCATAATGAGAGTTAAAGAGAAACCTAATTGGTCATATGAGATTATTAAGAAACCTATTCATTATACTCAAAATATAACCTTTCTATGAAGACTTCAGTACCATATCTTCAGTGCCCTGCCCATCTCACCTCAGAACAGATCGGCCCAGTCTCTACCTACTTTTATCATTAGAGATGACGTTAAAAAAAATAAATCTCTTAGTCAATAACATTCATCTCATGATGGTTAGTTTAAAGTAATTTTATATTCTTTTTAATAATTTTCTGTATTTTTGTAAATGTTCCATGTACTATTTTATAATCAGAAAAGAAGGATATTTGAAATAAATATTTCATCTCCTCATATAAAACATAGTAAAAAATATGCCTGAAAAATGTTATTTTTCATGATTTCAGATTTAGATAAACAGTTCGCAATATACAAACCAATAAATGGCTTAGCTGTTTAAGACCTATTTTTGAATTAGCCACATATCTGGATGTGTGTGCAATACACGTGTAACTTCTGGAAAATTTCCATATTCATGTATATTCAGTATATTCTTTTACCTCATTTTCCTATGCTCTAAAGAAAATCATGAGAGATTTTCCTACGTAAGTTTATAATAACTATTTTTTACCACATGAATCATACTGATTATATATAGACTGTTGCTAAGACTATGAATAAAGTAAACAATATAAAATACATCCTTAAAATACTATGTCAGATTCCAGTTCTAAATATAGGATCCAAAGCAATAAACATGGAGACCGTCTCCTATGTTAGATGTTAAAAAGTTAGTCAAAGTTGAGTTAGTAAGAAATGTAAAGTATCATTGATTAATTAGAACTTATATCTTAAGAATACAAAACATATTCAGAATTGCTTAGGTCAACAAATTCTAACACTATTTTTGTCAACATAGTTAACACGTGTAATTTAGAGAAATACAACTTTAGAAAACTGTATGACAGTATTTAGTAAAGCTAAATCTATAGCTATCTGTGGTATAACAAAGGTACAGATACCAAAAAAAATGAACAAAATACATATACAAAATTCTCAAACTAGTTTTATCTGCCCCAACAATGAAAACAACTCAAAGCAGTAGAATGTAAAATATTTGTACAGTGGAAAAATATACATCAATAAAAAGAACTACTGACATTGTGCTGAATGAAAAAAGCCCAGGTAATCACTTGCACTTCTGACTGGCCGGCTATAAATCACAGGTTCCCAGAACCATGTTTTGGAGCTCTA